TTTTGAGCGTCCTTCGAAAGTTATTACTAGTCATAGGACACATACGAGGGTTTCCTGTGAAAACAACAATTTTTGCACTTAGTTCGAAGGTGCGAATATACTTGTTTATGAAGTGAGCACTTCTCAATTCCCTTGTAACAGTCAGCTAGTCGCAAGTCTTTCCCAGTCTATCTATGTACACAAGTATGGATCGTGCAACTGCCTAGTTCCATAAAAAAATCTGCGGTTTTGACTCAATTCGCATTATGTTAATGAGTTTATCTGGAATATGTTAATGAGTTTATCTGGAAGATTTTGACTTTGAGGTGTGTTCTCGCAACCTTAGTGGTAAAGTGCTTTAAAAATTCTTCAGAAAAAGTTTTAAAGCATACTTGACTGGTTTGAAGCTCTTTATAATGACAGATATGCTTTAGGTACTGAGTTTATATCGCGATCTTATACGATACTCGAAATCATTGGTTTATACGGATAAAAACTATTTTACGGCGAGAATTCGCGAAGAGTTCCATAAGAATCGCAGCAACCCACCGGCCATCGCTGAAATTAACTATAACGTGGGAATCATTTGTTATGTCGTTTGTCTGAGTATTGAAATTTCGTGGAATATTTTTTTATAGAAAGGCCGACAGCTTTTGTCGTTGAAACGTTTCATTTGAGAAATGGTTTGTGTATTAGGAATTGAAGGCTCAGCAAACAAAATCGGCGTAAGTTTTGCTTTTTCTTCTCAATATAGATTCTTTAATTCGCATACCTATTCTTTAGGTGGGCATAATTCGAGATGGTGAGGTCCTGTCAAATCCGCGGGCGACTTTTCATGCACCACCCGGAGAAGGCTTTCGACCCAGCGAAACCGCACAACATCATCGTCAACAGGTGCATACTACGTGAATCACTTTTTTGTTTTGTAAGTAGAAATAGAGTTCTTCAAACTTGTTTCAGATTTTGAAAATTCTGACGAAAGCGCTCAGTGATGCAAACATCAGAGATCCCGAAAAGGAGATTGATGCCATAGCATTTACGAAAGGACCGGGCATGGGAGCTCCTTTACAGGTAAGGTAGTCTAAATCAGCTAAAAAAAGAAATTGAATAAACCTTTTGACAGCTGGGGAATGGATGAGAGTCTGCTAGTTTACCGATTTTTCAATGTAATTTTTTGGTAGCAGAAGGTGCACAAGGTTTTGTTGAGGTTTATCATTGTCAGCTATATGATGCGATACTCATTATTGATTCAAAATGGATGTTTATTTCTCTTTTATACTTAGCTGATATGAATATAAATTGCGGGAAATCATTGGTATTATCAGTTCTTAGTTATTATTCAATTTCTAAAACCTTTTCCCTCCTATAACTGCCAAGAGGCATTTGTCAGCATTTCGATTCGATTTCCAGGTTGGTGCTATAGTTGCTCGCACACTATCGTTGACATGGTCATTGCCCCTAATACCCGTTAATCACTGTATTGGTCACATCGAAATGGGCCGTCTTATTACGGGCGCACACAATCCTGTAGTATTGTATGTTAGCGGAGGAAATACGCAGGTGAGAGTTAAACTTATTCTGCCTTTGAAGCTGCTTAAGTTGTTATTTAGGTAATTTCATATTCTCACTACAAATATCGCGTATTTGGAGAAACAATTGATATAGCTGTAGGCAACTGTCTTGACAGATTTGCCCGCGTTGTCATGTTGCCAAATGATCCCAGCCCTGGTTATAATATTGAGCAAGCAGCCAAGAAAGGTTGGTTTTTGAATAATCAAGGACTGCTAGGCATTCAGTCATAAAACTGCTCTTAATGTTGATCACTCTGATGCTTGCAAATTAAATATCAAAAAATAAGTTCTAAAGTTGAAAGTATACCTTCGCCAAGACATGTGCGCTTTATTAACAAACCCAGGGCGGTACTTGGTCAGCGAGTTAACCAGATAATCAAAATTCCGTAATGTGTAGGTTATTTCATCCACATGAAGAAGTTTTAGAAAGCTCTGAGTGTCTTCTTCTTTACATTTACATATTCCAAGTAGTAGGATTCATGGTTATATGTGTAGATCTGGCTACGAAATGGCTTGAATTTAACTACTCATTATCAGAAACAGATAAATACCTTTTATTTTTTTAAATCATACATTATTTTATTCTTTTGCACATCATCCTTGGAAGAAAATTGTTTATCGGTCGTGGATAAGAGAAAAGGTGCTACATCGAACTTCGGTTCTCTCCCCTGTCATATCAGCAATCAGTTTTCAAGTAGGTTGCTTCCAGGAAGCAAGCTGTTAGAATTGCCATACAATGTCAAAGGTATGGATGTCGCATTTTCCGGAATATTGTCCTTAATCGAAAGCAAAGCTACGAAGTTATTATCTAGTGGCGAATACACCGTAGAAGATCTGTGCTTTTCCCTTCAGGTAATCAATGTAATATTTTTTTTCAAACAGTTCTCAGTTTTCAAGTTTAAGGAGACCGTTTTCGCTATGCTAGTAGAGATCACTGAACGAGCTATGGCACATACAGGAAGCAGAGAATTGCTTATTGTTGGCGGAGTTGGATGTAACAAACGACTGCAGGTGAGTTATTACAGATCATGGTGTATACATCAGGTATCAAATATCGGTTAATTTCTTCTTTCCTATAGGAAATGGCTGAATGTATGTGTGCTGAAAGGGATGCGCATCTTTTCGCAACCGACGAGCGTTTTTGCATTGATAATGGGGCAATGATAGCTCAAGCAGGTTATTTGATGCATAAAGCAGGACTTAGTTGTGAGGTTTGTGATGTTTGAAATTGTCACTTAATGAACAAACAAACTATCTGGGGTGATAATTTGACCATGAAACTGAGAGTCAACTGTGAGATTACTCGCAGTTAACTCGCAGTCAACTGCGAGTTTCAAGCTCGCAATTATAATGTAAAAAGACCAGAAATCCAGGGATTTTTGGTGCAAAAGAATCACCAATAAGACCTTAAAACTTTTACAAAGAGTAAATTCCAAAAGTTTTGGAACCCTAAAAATAACTGGTTTA